CCGGCCAACTCCACTTCTGTTTCTGCTTGATTTTTTACATTCAAAGCAAAATGACAATGGCGGACCGAGGGAGCTCATACAAATCCGGCAGTTTAATTCCAATGAGTCATTCCCCACTGTGAGCAGTAACGCTGTGTTCTATGCACTGTGTGCTCATAATGCAAAAAAAAACCGTGCTGCCTCCAGAAAACTGACAGGTATGTGGTAGCAACCGGAAGTAAAGATATGTGCGAAGAAGGGAAACCTTGGTGCGAGCAGTAGCCAACGGGGTTATGGGGACCTTGGCAGGCGCAGCCAATCAACACGCGATGACGAAAGGACTTAAAAGTTTGGCTTCTATCCGGTTTGTGGCTTTACAGTTGTCGAGAGATGTCGAGGGAGACGAAGGAGGTTAATCGCCAGGCCCTAGAAACGCACAACTGGCAAGTATTTTTTCCCGTGTGCCTATTAAATGCTGGAATGGATAAAGGTTAACTTAGAGAAAACACGCTAAGTTGCATCGATACTGCATGCAAAACGGGATAAGGTCACGATTTTTGTAAATTTGCGACGCTGAATTCAGCAGCCGTCGGGGATATATTTGTCTATGAAAGTCTAGGCAGTAATTGGTGCAGGCCAGGGATCACCAAAGTACCTCAAAGTCAGGTAGAAATTAGGTCTACTTGTTCTTGGAATACGGTATCTTCAGTGACAACCATGCCATGCGTAAAATTACTTAAATTTATGAAATATCGTCTAAATGCCAGTCGCTACGAAGTTGGGACACCTTCGTATGAATTATTTTTTTCATACTTCTCCCTGTGGTAGAGAACATTGGGCATTGAAAATGAAAAACAGTCAGTTGTTACTCGTTTTCACTCGTCGCATGTAGTCAGTTAAGAAAGCAGGGAGGTCTTTGTCGCATGGGCAAAATTTTAACACATGTTCATTTCAGCCACTATTAAACAACATGTTTGATCGATTCAGTTTAAATTAGGTCAAACTATCTGTATGACTGTAGTGCAGAGGGCATGTCTCTGTCAGTCCCAAGCCATACATCAGATAGGTTTGGGCCTGTATTGAGTTGAACTGGCTACAGGCTCTACGGATGAAAGGAGGGTTTAATGCCCAATGCCGGCTGAAGGGTCTGGTGAAAAAACAACGCTTTTCGGTACAACAACCTGGCCAGACATCCCTATGCATGCAAGACGAAATGGTCTCGATGCACGAAAAATCCGAGCACAACTTTTTAAATAGTGGTGTTATAAGCCAGGCTCCGAGGAAGGATATTTCTATATTTTTAGCGAGACAGGGTTAATACAGTACATTGCAATTTTACCCTCATCTCAGCATATTTAACTTGGATTACGATACTGGGTTCAAAAAGGCTTCTTTCTGGTCGCCTGTAAGATAACTGACTACTGAAATTGTAAACATCTTCCTCATTGACTTTGCAGACCCTCACAAATAAATCTTATAGAAAACATGCAAACAAGTATCTTCCTTGTGCATTGCAGAAAAACCCCATTATCAAAATGTAGGTTTCTCGAAAGTCCTAAAAAGATAGATAGAGTGGTTAGGTGGTTATCTTATTATACTTAGCTGAGATCCAATTTACCGTTCTGGAGTTAGATTAGTGTAGTTTGCGGCGCGAATCGCTGCGCATCCCTTGCATTTACATGCGACACAATTAACTCCTAGCGGCCGCAGAAAATAAATTCGACTACATTTTTCCACTTGCTTCTCCGAATTCCCCTCAATGTTTATCATATTTCTCCACCCCCAAAACTCATATAACAACCGTTTCCGTAGGACAAAATGCCGGGACTAGAGCTATATGAAACGCACTACTTGAAATATCTTTGCCACTTTTTAAACTGAATTATATCCCCGTTTTAAGGCGTAATTGGCTATCGTAGTTATAAAAAAACAAAGTATTTATATGTATAATGTCTACAAGTATATAAGAACTGATTTGACATAAGGAACAATGAGAAAAAAATCTAGAAAAAATTAAGTAGACATTTTTTGAAAAAGCCTGCCCTTGCTCGAGGCTGGACAATGGGAAAAATAGCCTGCCCTCTCCAGACGGACAAAAAGCACCTAAAAAAGAAGGCTACTCGATCGCCGGAGCAATACTTTTATTCGTCTGACGTTTCGATATCCGTTGCGGATTCATCATCAGAGGCATAATCACAGTGCAGTAGCACATACAGGTAGTTTGTGCACAGTTTTGCCGTATAAGACAGTTAAAAGTTAAACGTGGGCAAAAAATCGATAACTGTTTAATGTGGGTGCTGAATCGCTACGTCAGGCATAGGGTGACGTGCTGGTCTGTCGGGTTCGCAAATGGTGATTTACTTTGGCCAAATTGAGTCTCAGCTCCGAATTTGAATTAGGCAAATGGTCGTACATGTTGATCGAATAGGGGCCTGCGAAACATGACTCAGCCAATTCTCGGCTCACCGGATTGTCACCTCTTGCGAGAATTTCGGTCTCATCAAATTTGATTGTGTAGGCCGGGTCTCGTCGAATGAGCGCAACTTGAGAATTGGCATCGTTTCGCCGCACTGCTGTCTCGTTGAATTAGCCGCAACTTGAGAATTGGCATCATTTCGCCGCAACTGCCGCGTGTTCGGCAATTCGCGTCCTGAGAAGTCTGCCAATTTCTCCGACATAGTTGCTTTGCCCGCAACTGCACCAGATCCTCTAGACGACTCCAGATGTTTCTTGCCGTGGCGGTGGGTCTTTCGGTTTCATGATCTGACGCCTTATGGTTACCAACAGCCA